AAACTAGGTTCCAGGCATTCAAAAATCCTCGATTAGCCTACCAGGCTTGGTTTTAAAACAAAATTGTCACGAAAATGTCACGAAAGGTACAACCGCGTACTGTTTTGTTGCTATCAGCCGCTCGGCCGAGTATAAACCTAACATTTTCTTGCAAGGTGTTTTATTCCAGCTTTTTTCTTCGCAAAACAGATCCACATAGCTCAAATTATTTGAAAAATCGCAGGGGATACGCTTTCCCTGACTACGATCGTTTTTGTCCGTCATTTTGAAAATGAGATTCCGTTGACAATTAATCACGGGCGCGAAATGTCCACGATTTCTGGCAATGGGTTAGGTGAGGGTTAGTGCCCAAACTCCGCGGGGCCTTGCCCTGTTTTCCTTCTGTCTCAAATAAGTATTTCCTAATCCCACTTGCCGGATTCACACTAGAGACGGTTGATCTGTCTGAAACCGGTTATCGATCGATCGATCAATCAATCAATCAATCAAGCTTTATTTCCGGCATCACTTCATTGAAAATGCTCTTCCAGTGAGCCGTTTACATAACAAATTTTAAGAGAAACTACAGTAATTCTAAAAATACATCTATGTAAACTATTAAGAAAACTATCCTATAATTAATTACACAAAAATCTACCTAAAATGTACATTATATAACCAAAATAAGTTCTATCACAAACCCCGGTTCAAGGCAAAGACAGGGCAGACTTAAAAAAGAGTTGAGAATGATCTTGTCTTTAGGCACATTTTCTAGGCCATTCTACATGACACCCCCCTACAGCTAAAAGCTCGTTTAGCAGCTTCAGTACGGGGCCTAGGCACAAAAACATTGTTCGAGGCACCTCGTACGTTGTAAGGACGAAGCCTGGAGGTTGGTTTGAACACGTTCTTTAAACTCTCAGGGTAAAAGTTATTTAGAGATTTAAAAACACTTATTGCGAGCTGCTTAGAGCGTCTTTGCTCAAAGGTATCCCATTCTAAGTCGTGGAAAATATCCGCAGATCTTGTATATTATAATCACCAAATGTTATAATTTTCCCAGCTCTATTTTGCAATCTCTGTCCGTTGGATCATTCGCGTCAGACAGATAATACGCCTTAATTTGAAAATGGAACCCTCTTAATTTTGGATGACAATCCGCCTGATTTTGTCCATCTGTTTTTCGTTTAATTTTGACGGATTTTGAAGATGTATTATCCGTCTCTAGTGTGAAAACAGCCATTAGCTACCACTAGGTCTTCGAGTATGGATTAACTACTGTCACCCTTTGAATCCACGGATAATATCGTAATATGTACAATAATTACTGCTCACAATCTAAAATTTTCAGAATGTAGGTTTTTCTTACATGCCGAGGATTCAAATCCCAAGTGTAATTTTTCTTATACTGAGAAGAAGTGTTTTCCTTTGCAGAAAACACATGCCAGGAGCTTGGTCTACAGAATATATCAGCATTCAATTGTACCTCGTTATCCGCAATAAAATGCAAGCCACACAGGTATATTGATTATCCATGTTATATGGCTGATATGTATTTCCACAATACATACTTTTTGGGCCACTTAAACGCTACAATGATCAGGACACCTAATTTTAAGCATGTTTCTAGTTATTGCAGAGCAATGAACGTCAAAATGAGTGATTTCAAGAGCCTATTCCACTTTATAAAATAACTAAGATAGTACGCGCGTTCTTATTGGTTAAAAACCTATGGTTTATTGTGCCGGTAAACTCATAGAAAACTTAATCTTATTTTATAAAAGCAATAGACCCCACTTTCTATGGGTTTACCGGCGTGATTACCCACTTGGAATGTTGGGAGAACACTCGAAAAGCTTGACTGTTAGGTTGGATCCTACCCTGCCGCTGCTTTGATCATGAGACTTTTTCACCATCTTATTAACATGACTGGCCAATCCGAAAAAGGGAATTCGAATGTTTTTGGAACCAGTTAGGTGACATCCTCGGAGACCCAGGGCGGGAGGAAAGGCGCGAACAAAGTTTTCAAGCACGGGCGGAAGAGCCCCTGTGTACCGACTCTCACTGGACCATTTCCAAACGGTCAAGCGAATATTGGCTCCTGATTGGGCACAAAACATGCTTTGTATGATTGTCCAATTTGGGAACAACATCTCCGGAGTTCTTTTCGTGAGTTCGTACATGACGGCCATTGACTCGATCGCGGCTTGTCTGGCTCATGCACCAAAGAAATGCACGCAGTCAGGAAATTTTCAGTTTGATATAAACTCTGTCTACCCGAAAACTAACGACGCTTTTCCGAAAATACAAGCTTGAGCTCACAACAGGTATTCACGCTTGCATCGATCACGTCTTCGTTAAGATTGGGGAGTTTAATAAGATGCCACGACAACTGACAACCACGAAAACGTCGCATGAAAAGTGAATTCACATTTTTTCAATCTCTATCGTGATTATTCCAACTCGCTTACTTTCTTAAATGCATGCGAACTCTTCTGGAGCTGAATTTCTATCAACCATATCCAAGTTCATAAAGAGAAATAAAATTTTGTCACTTGCTTGTTTACGTCCTTCACAAAACGTGAAACTAGGCATTTTCACGTGGTAGTCCTGCAGTGGTGGCAAAGAAATGTGCAACAAAGCGTGATGCACGTGCAAAGTTGTTGTTTTGCATTGTCAAGCTATTGCTTTTTTTGATTTCTTGTGTGACGCCGCCGCATCTTAAACTTCCTGTTATTTACGATACATTGTGATCTGTTGGAAAGAAACAGAATTTTCTCAGTGCAAATTGAATTGCTTCTGCTGATAGCATCCGAAACGTTTTTCGACTCATCAGTAGTTCCTTTGACTGGTTAGGAAAGCTTCGTGAACGAACCAGGCAACTGTGGCGAGATAATAGCCGTCGTGTACGAACTCACGAAAATAACTCAGGAGAACCTGTTCACCGATTGGACACAATAATACATTGTCAAAGCTTTTTTTGGGCCGAATCAGGAGCCAGCATTCGCTTGACCGTTTGGAAATGGTCCTGTGAGAGTCCTTACCCAGGGGCTCTTCGGCCTATGCTTGAAAACTTTCGTCGCGCCTTTTCTCCCGGTCCGACTGATGGAGATAAGGAAACTTGTTCAAATACATCGATTTTGAGCTTACGGGTCCTCGGTGCACGACTCGAAACATGTTAAGTGCTGTGTAACCTTCGCATCTGGGTTAAAAATGGCTAAATAGAAGTAGGTTTACTTACTTCCCGAAGTGGCCACTTTTATCTCTCGTTGTACGCTCCATTTCTCCATACATTGTCTTAAAATCTTGCCGAAGTCATGCGAAATACTCGTCGATTAGAGGATAAACCCTTCAATGAAGTAAATTTGCACGACTCGATATCACTTCTGCGATGTGAGATGTTTCCTAAACAGTCGTAAAAAGGACGATTTTGGCACTGCAAAATACTTCCAAAGGCGCATTATTTCCCTCAGTTTTCCATCTGTAGTCCAGTAATGGACGCCATAGTTGCGAATAACACATTTCGGTCGGACAAATCTTCCCAACTCCAAACCTCACCGAATCGCCATTTTGTTTGTTGCTACAACTCCAGAGATGCTGGGATATAAACTAGGTTCCAGGCATTCAAAAATCCTCGATTAGCCTACCAGGCTTGGTTTTAAAACAAAATTGTCACGAAAATGTCACGAAAGGTACAACCGCGTACTGTTTTGTTGCTATCAGCCGCTCGGCCGAGTATAAACCTAACATTTTCTTGCAAGGTGTTTTATTCCAGCTTTTTTCTTCGCAAAACAGATCCACATAGCTCAAATTATTTGAAAAATCGCAGGGGATACGCTTTCCCTGACTACGATCGTTTTTGTCCGTCATTTTGAAAATGAGATTCCGTTGACAATTAATCACGGGCGCGAAATGTCCACGATTTCTGGCAATGGGTTAGGTGAGGGTTAGTGCCCAAACTCCGCGGGGCCTTGCCCTGTTTTCCTTCTGTCTCAAATAAGTATTTCCTAATCCCACTTGCCGGATTCACACTAGAGACGGTTGATCTGTCTGAAACCGGTTATCGATCGATCGATCAATCAATCAATCAATCAAGCTTTATTTCCGGCATCACTTCATTGAAAATGCTCTTCCAGTGAGCCGTTTACATAACAAATTTTAAGAGAAACTACAGTAATTCTAAAAATACATCTATGTAAACTATTAAGAAAACTATCCTATAATTAATTACACAAAAATCTACCTAAAATGTACATTATATAACCAAAATAAGTTCTATCACAAACCCCGGTTCAAGGCAAAGACAGGGCAGACTCAAAAAAGAGTTGAGAATGATCTTGTCTTTAGGCACATTTTCTAGGCCATTCTACATGACACCCCCCTACAGCTAAAAGCTCGTTTAGCAGCTTCAGTACGGGGCCTAGGCACAAAAACATTGTTCGAGGCACCTCGTACGTTGTAAGGACGAAGCCTGGAGGTTGGTTTGAACACGTTCTTTAAACTCTCAGGGTAAAAGTTATTTAGAGATTTAAAAACACTTATTGCGAGCTGCTTAGAGCGTCTTTGCTCAAAGGTATCCCATTCTAAGTCGTGGAAAATATCCGCAGATCTTGTATATTATAATCACCAAATGTTATAATTTTCCCAGCTCTATTTTGCAATCTCTGTCCGTTGGATCATTCGCGTCAGACAGATAATACGCCTTAATTTGAAAATGGAACCCTCTTAATTTTGGATGACAATCCGCCTGATTTTGTCCATCTGTTTTTCGTTTAATTTTGACGGATTTTGAAGATGTATTATCCGTCTCTAGTGTGAAAACAGCCATTAGCTACCACTAGGTCTTCGAGTATGGATTAACTACTGTCACCCTTTGAATCCACGGATAATATCGTAATATGTACAATAATTACTGCTCACAATCTAAAATTTTCAGAATGTAGGTTTTTCTTACATGCCGAGGATTCAAATCCCAAGTGTAATTTTTCTTATACTGAGAAGAAGTGTTTTCCTTTGCAGAAAACACATGCCAGGAGCTTGGTCTACAGAATATATCAGCATTCAATTGTACCTCGTTATCCGCAATAAAATGCAAGCCACACAGGTATATTGATTATCCATGTTATATGGCTGATATCTATATCCATAATACATACTTTTTGGGCCACTTAGAGCGGTTTTCACTTGACTGTCGAAAGGGATTGGTTTTGGTTTTACTACGCCCTTTGGTTGGCTAGTGTATTTACTTTGGTTTTGGTTTTACGACAGTCAAGTGAAAACCGCTCTAAACGCTACAATGATCAGAACACCTAATTTTAAGCATGTTTCTAGTTATTGCAGAGCAATGAACGTCAAAATGAGTGATTTCAAGAGCCTATTCCACTTTATAAAATAACTAAGATAGTACAAGCGTTCTTATTGGTTAAAAACCTATGGTTTATTGTGCCGGTAAACTCATAGAAAACTTAATCTTATTTTATAAAAGCAATAGACCCCACTTTCTATGGGTTTACCGGCGTGATTACCCACTTGGAATGTTGGGAGAACACTCGAAAAGCTTGTAAATCACTCGCCTTCGGCAAGTGATTTGGGTTATCACGCAGGTTAACCCATAGAAAGTGTAGTCTATTGCCTAATAGTCTTACCCCGGAATACCGTCAGTCGAACACGCCCCTAATGTACTACTTCAGATAGATATATCATGGTAGGTAAGTCGTTAATTCCTCCCGTCAGAAATCTTTAATTTTTCTTTCTACCATGGCATAACCTAATTAACATTTTACTTTATCATTGCACATAACATATCTTCTTGGCGATGGGCAAACTGTCTCTCAACGGACACCTCTATATATTTAAGTCACGCCTTAGTTGTTGGTCCCTGCCATTTTTCAGCCGTTTTGTTTGCTCTGTATAGCGCAGGCACTTCTCATAAGATGGAAACCACATTTCATGTCCTAATGATGTCCCTGTTAGAGCGAGTTGACTACACCTTATAGTATTCATTTTCACTTATACCTTTTACTAGACCGAGTACAGTCGGATGTGCACAAGCCTATAGATATTACGGACGTCCAGGGCACATTGAACACCGTAAATGTGACGAGACTCGTCACCCTGACATATGTTCGTTTAAAGAAACAAAGTCTGGAAATCATAGACTGTTATGTAACACCGAGGTTTGTGGGTCATCGAATATCACCATAGGCTCTGTGAATGCGGCAATGGGCAAAGTCACTGACTGGATTCTTACATCCAAGGAGACGATAACTGGAACTGTACAAGAAGCCGTAGAAACAAACCAAAAAAACGGCTTTGGCTTTCTGTACATAAAGTGTGGGGATATTCTTCAGTCGCTCATCTTTCCACCTATCCTAAAGAAAGCCGAAAATGACAGCGAGAGAAACAACATAAATGTTAACGTGGTTGTGTTGGACTCTGTGGCAAGACCGCATTTTTATCGAATTCTGCCAAGATCAGTGGCCGTACTCCGCGCGATTGCACAAGATCCCGATATCAAGGCCACTGCGTTGGATTTTGAATTGTTCCAGAGTGTTGGTCAACAGACTTTTGACAACATGAGGCCCTTCTTTTCTGGTGTTATCAAAGGTAAACGTTGAGGAGTGTCCATATCATTCAGGTCCCGTTTATATGGAGAAAACTTGTCCCGAGCAAAAGAGTCACTCGCTTAGCTGAGATACCCTGGGTGAGCCAACTTTTCATGCATTGTGTAGTTCCAGAAAATATCCATACCCTCTCACGGAGGGCACTTTTTCAGTTCAGTTTGACCCCGAGATGCAAAGGGCCTTTTGAATGTGCAACGTAAGGAAACTTCCCAAAAGGGCCCTTACTAGTTGTTTCGTGGGAAAGTAAATTGCATATTGTGGCCTTTTAGTTCCATTTAGATTTAATACTATATATTTTTTCTTCTTCTATAGATGACAATGAAATCAGTGACAGAGCAAAGACCGCAAAGGACCCTCTAGGGGTAGAGGTGTTGTTTGGGGCCTTCAGTAAATGGGGCTACCAGACCCTCTTCCAAGAAGACCTTTGTTGGTACGACCACTGGGGTATTGGATTGACGGACCTTCAAGTAAGAGCAAGCCCTGATGGAGATTCTGAATTTGAAGACAGGTACCTTTGTAAATATACTACATAAGTTTAGAGAGGAAGGTACCAATATTACGAAATGCCTGGAAAATAATGGGGCCGTAGCATTTAGTTCACTTACAAAGGAAACAGTATCTTTTTTTATTAGGGACATTAAGCAAATCGCTACGGCGACCTCTATTACGGAGGCCTCGTGGTACGGAGTGCTGGGGAGAGTAGGTCACCGTAGCCCACCAAATTTCAACTTTAAAGTGGCTCGACTGGATTTGTTTGGGGGGATACCTCCCAAGTTTGAGCAGTAACTACGTCGGCATTATTGAAGATATGGGAAAAAGGTTACCACAACTGTATCATATAAAGATGACAATTTCTTATGATCCGGGTTTTATTGCAATCGGAGTCGTCATGGCAAAGTAACGACGCCATTACGTTTTTTATTTATCTTTGTGTTTCTCAGTACCAGGTTTTTTTTTTTTAGAAATCGCTTAAGGGAGTATGTACCTGCCATAATTGCCTCATACCATGGCAAAGTTTGAACAAATTCTATGATAGCATTTTCGAAATATTTTCAAGCGAAGTTTTAACAATCATAAAAACAGTGAAATAGCATGCTGTCCACACAATTAGCTAATATTTTAAGAAAATGATAAGCTTTGGAAACGCAGCTTTATCTCATAGTGGTTCGATTCCATTGAAAACTGCGTACAAAAATTGCTCTGGCCGATCGCGAGTGAGAAGAATTTTATTAACTTGCGTTCAGCTGCTTCTGTTACAGTTTTTCGACGTCATTTCGTTCATGCCTACAAAAAAACCGCTGGCTAAATTTTTGTATAAATTTGACAATCCCGAGATCAATCTTCAATAAATGTAACCTGCAAGTTTCACGAACATTGAAAACAGGAAAAGCTGTTAAATAGGGCCTCAAATATAACCAATTTCCCCCTCAGGTTTTCTGTTTACAATTGAGCGTCCTCATTATTCACTGGCATTGTTTGCAAGTTTTCAATTCCCCTCTTTTTTTTTGTAAGCAGTTTTCAATGGAATCAAACCACCATGAGATGAAGCCGCATTTCCAAAGCTTATCATTTTCTTAAAAATATTAGCTAATTGTGTGGATAGTATGCTATTTCACTGTTTTTATGATTCGTTTTTATGATTCGACTTCGTTTCTAATTATTTCGAAAACGCTCTCATGGAATTTGTTCAAACTTTGCCATAATTGAGGCAATTATGGCAGGTACATACTCCCTGAAGCGATTTCTTAAAAAAAAATCCTGGTACAGAGAAACACGGAGATAAAGGAAAAACGCAATGGCGTCACTACGTTGCCATGGCGACTCCGATTGCAATAAAACCCAGATCATAAGAAATTGTCATCTTTATATAATACAGCTGTGGTAACCTTTTTCCGATATCTTTACTCATGCTGACGTAGTTTATGCTCAAACTTGGGAGGTATCCCCCTTAAAAAATCCAGACGAGCCTCCTTCGCTCATTCACTTTAGCTGTTAGTAAAACGAAGGGAAGACGTAATTACTGGAAAACCAGGCTGAGCGTCAAATACTTTCTCGATAAAGTGAAAAACAATCTATCTAAAATAGGAGAAAAGTCGAATTTTATTACTCACGTAGTAGCGACTACGCCACAAGGCAGGTCTTCACGTTGAAGGATTTGGCGCCACAGCGAAAGGTCATTTCCAAGAATGCGCACTGCGTCGTTTATGAGCTATTTTACTTCCGGCCACCGTGGTAGAGGTCGCCGTGGCGATTTGCTTAAAGTCGCCTACACGGACACGGAAGGGGCCATAGAAATTTTACCTATTAACGGGGTGTCTGTATTAAGAGGGATTAAACGGGATTTGACTGTATAGTTAGTTGTTTGCTTGTTTGTGTTTTTTCTTAGATTGTTAAATTCAGTTCCCACTTTTTCGATAGTTGTTTCAGTTCATACGATTATTTGGGTGCTACTACGGGAAAAATTGTATTTAGTGAACAATCAAAATGCCCATAACCTTGAACGGGTTTTTTTCTTCTTATATGAAAGTACACACTACTAAAAGAACTTTTACGACAAAAAAATTGCGAATTGAAGAAAACGTGATTTTTTTAGCAAAGTTTTTCAGTGTGATGCTTTAATGTCTACGTTAAAGTAGCCTCGCCTCGTCTCGTCACTTCTCTACCTCCGGTTTTTCTCGGCGGGTGAAACTAAAGCCGAAAAAACCGGATGCTCTCGCGGGCTAACGTTAAAGGTGCTACTATAAGAAAAAATGTATTCTGTTGCAGATGGAGTGAATTCCAAAATCGAGTGAGTACAAAGCATATTGACGACTTTGGCCTGTCACATTTTTCCTGCACAGTATTTAAAAAATACAGCATGACAAACCATTACGAGACTCCACCTCAGGTTTGTCTAAACGGAGAGTTTTACAGTCAGTATTTCCTGGATTACATAACTAAAGTTTACGCTGCCATGAACAGAGACAAAAAGGCCAAATCGATGCTGTCCTTTATGCACTTTAACACTGGACACGAGCATACTGGGGTACGAATGATCAACATGGATGCCAACTTGGCAAAGTTCTTGAATAATATAGTTCAGAGCCCTGACACTCTTACTGTGATATTTTCCGACCATGGCAACAGGAATACTCAGTATAGTTATACTGACGAAGGGAGAAGAGAGACTTTTGATCCAATTCTGTTTATGATAATTCCAGACCAAGTGGCTGAAAAGCTCGGCCATCAGCGAATGACGGCCCTGGTTGAAAACCAAAAGCGTCTCTTTACGTTGCTGGACCTACATAGAGCACTCGTGTCTTTAAACCATCCTGCACTAATGAACTCCCAGAATTCCACGGCAGTAGGGATATTTTCTGTTTTACCAGCAAACCGCACATGTGCAGATTTGCAGTTGATGCCGCTGACCAGGTGCAAGTGTGAAGGGTTCGACGATTATAGTCAGGCAGAAGACAACTCAAAAAACCACAAATGGTTAGCAGAGTTTGCACTCGGGACCTTAAATGATGCCATACAGACACAACATTTAGGAGGTACATGTAATAGGGAACTTATTTAATTAAGAAACTACAACGACGAGGTCAGGGTAACGTCACTAAAAAGTAAATTTCCATTCTTCCAACTTGTCATTATTCTGCCTGTGACATTTTCCATTTTCCTGCAGATTAATTGCTAAGGGAGTGCATTCAAGTTTATATGGAAAAAGGAAAATTCGTTGTAGTGTAATAACGTCCGTTATTAAACGACTAACTAGAAAATTTCATTTCGAAGTTGGGCGGAGGAAACCAAAGAAACATACCAGACATACCCACAAAAGTGTGATGGACTGGCAAATCTTCTTTTGTCGGGAAAAAAAATTGACGTTACAGCCTCTTATTGGTTTAGATAGCGGCCAGAAGTTATTCACTCATCTCATAGAAATCGCCAAATTGTTTTGAAGGTCAAAGAAAACGATCTTTACGCCGGGGAGAGCAAATTGTAAACATTCAATTCTCTACTTACAGTGGTGATAAAAGAAACCATGATTCGGTCTAAAAGGGTAGTAACGTGCGAACGTACCTACCTGTTATAGAGACGACTTACCCAAAAATTTAAGGGGAGAACCGGCCGAATTTTGCAAAAAGTATACTTCCGGTTGATGTGTGTAGCTCAAAATCGTCTTTCGAGTTGTTTCCGTTCGTTTTTTACAGGCGCTGGTGAAGTTGTAACCTCATCCCAAAGGTATGGCTATGGAAACTGTCAGCGCTTGGTGGGGAAATCATTTACTAATATTTTGCAACGTTACCAAGGAGGCTACATCTTGACGACAATGGATCTCCACGTGGTCCCTCCAGCTGGTTTTACGGAAGACGAAGTCTTTAAAGTTTCTTTGAAAAACTATGCAAAGCCGGAAGACAAAGTTTGGTTGACAAGTTATACTCGGCAGTCCAGATATAGCAAATTTGAGGCATGCGCAGACAAGTCAGTTGACGTTAGAATTTGCGCATGCGCTATTGATCAAACTAATGTTGCTGAATCAGTCAGCAATGGGGTTCCAAGTAAAATGTTTGGTTCGGAGACCGTTGTAAAAGACCTCCACTTAGGATGTCTTTTATTTCTGAGAAGGGATCACGGATCAACCTCTTTGGCGTTGGAAGTAGCAAACGTATGCTACAATAGCACTTACAAATTTAAACTGGACGGTGCAGGATCAGAGAGACTGTTTTCTAAAATCCTTCCCATAAATGTTGAATTGCTACCCAGGACATTTTATTTTCTCACATCCATTACGAAGTATGCGTCGAAATTCACCTATCAATTACATTTTACAGTAAGTTTAGAAGTTAAAAAAGAAATTGTCATCTTTATATAATACAGCTGTGGTAACCTTTTTCCGATATCTTTACTCATGCTGACGTAGTTTATGCTCAAACTTGGGAGGTATCCCCCTTAAAAAATCCAGACGAGCCTCCTTCGCTCATTCACTTTAGCTGTTAGTAAAACGAAGGGAAGACGTAATTACTGGAAAACCAGGCTGAGCGTCAAATACTTTCTCGATAAAGTGAAAAACAATCTATCTAAAATAGGAGAAAAGTCGAATTTTATTACTCACGTAGTAGCGACTACGCCACAAGGCAGGTCTTCACGTTGAAGGATTTGGCGCCACAGCGAAAGGTCATTTCCAAGAATGCGCACTGCGTCGTTTATGAGCTATTTTACTTCCGGCCACCGTGGTAGAGGTCGCCGTGGCGATTTGCTTAAAGTCGCCTACACGGACACGGAAGGGGCCATAGAAATTTTACCTATTAACGGGGTGTCTGTATTAAGAGGGATTAAACGGGATTTGACTGTATAGTTAGTTGTTTGCTTGTTTGTGTTTTTTCTTAGATTGTTAAATTCAGTTCCCACTTTTTCGATAGTTGTTTCAGTTCATACGATTATTTGGGTGCTACTACGGGAAAAATTGTATTTAGTGAACAATCAAAATGCCCATAACCTTGAACGGGTTTTTTTCTTCTTATATGAAAGTACACACTACTAAAAGAACTTTTACGACAAAAAAATTGCGAATTGAAGAAAACGTGATTTTTTTAGCAAAGTTTTTCAGTGTGATGCTTTAATGTCTACGTTAAAGTAGCCTCGCCTCGTCTCGTCACTTCTCTACCTCCGGTTTTTCTCGGCGGGTGAAACTAAAGCCGAAAAAACCGGATGCTCTCGCGGGCTAACGTTAAAGGTGCTACTATAAGAAAAAATGTATTCTGTTGCAGATGGAGTGAATTCCAAAATCGAGTGAGTACAAAGCATATTGACGACTTTGGCCTGTCACATTTTTCCTGCACAGTATTTAAAAAATACAGCATGACAAACCATTACGAGACTCCACCTCAGGTTTGTCTAAACGGAGAGTTTTACAGTCAGTATTTCCTGGATTACATAACTAAAGTTTACGCTGCCATGAACAGAGACAAAAAGGCCAAATCGATGCTGTCCTTTATGCACTTTAACACTGGACACGAGCATACTGGGGTACGAATGATCAACATGGATGCCAACTTGGCAAAGTTCTTGAATAATATAGTTCAGAGCCCTGACACTCTTACTGTGATATTTTCCGACCATGGCAACAGGAATACTCAGTATAGTTATACTGACGAAGGGAGAAGAGAGACTTTTGATCCAATTCTGTTTATGATAATTCCAGACCAAGTGGCTGAAAAGCTCGGCCATCAGCGAATGACGGCCCTGGTTGAAAACCAAAAGCGTCTCTTTACGTTGCTGGACCTACATAGAGCACTCGTGTCTTTAAACCATCCTGCACTAATGAACTCCCAGAATTCCACGGCAGTAGGGATATTTTCTGTTTTACCAGCAAACCGCACATGTGCAGATTTGCAGTTGATGCCGCTGACCAGGTGCAAGTGTGAAGGGTTCGACGATTATAGTCAGGCAGAAGACAACTCAAAAAACCACAAATGGTTAGCAGAGTTTGCACTCGGGACCTTAAATGATGCCATACAGACACAACATTTAGGAGGTACATGTAATAGGGAACTTATTTAATTAAGAAACTACAACGACGAGGTCAGGGTAACGTCACTAAAAAGTAAATTTCCATTCTTCCAACTTGTCATTATTCTGCCTGTGACATTTTCCATTTTCCTGCAGATTAATTGCTAAGGGAGTGCATTCAAGTTTATATGGAAAAAGGAAAATTCGTTGTAGTGTAATAACGTCCGTTATTAAACGACTAACTAGAAAATTTCATTTCGAAGTTGGGCGGAGGAAACCAAAGAAACATACCAGACATACCCACAAAAGTGTGATGGACTGGCAAATCTTCTTTTGTCGGGAAAAAAAATTGACGTTACAGCCTCTTATTGGTTTAGATAGCGGCCAGAAGTTATTCACTCATCTCATAGAAATCGCCAAATTGTTTTGAAGGTCAAAGAAAACGATCTTTACGCCGGGGAGAGCAAATTGTAAACATTCAATTCTCTACTTACAGTGGTGATAAAAGAAACCATGATTCGGTCTAAAAGGGTAGTAACGTGCGAACGTACCTACCTGTTATAGAGACGACTTACCCAAAAATTTAAGGGGAGAACCGGCCGAATTTTGCAAAAAGTATACTTCCGGTTGATGTGTGTAGCTCAAAATCGTCTTTCGAGTTGTTTCCGTTCGTTTTTTACAGGCGCTGGTGAAGTTGTAACCTCATCCCAAAGGTATGGCTATGGAAACTGTCAGCGCTTGGTGGGGAAATCATTTACTAATATTTTGCAACGTTACCAAGGAGGCTACATCTTGACGACAATGGATCTCCACGTGGTCCCTCCAGCTGGTTTTACGGAAGACGAAGTCTTTAAAGTTTCTTTGAAAAACTATGCAAAGCCGGAAGACAAAGTTTGGTTGACAAGTTATACTCGGCAGTCCAGATATAGCAAATTTGAGGCATGCGCAGACAAGTCAGTTGACGTTAGAATTTGCGCATGCGCTATTGATCAAACTAATGTTGCTGAATCAGTCAGCAATGGGGTTCCAAGTAAAATGTTTGGTTCGGAGACCGTTGTAAAAGACCTCCACTTAGGATGTCTTTTATTTCTGAGAAGGGATCACGGATCAACCTCTTTGGCGTTGGAAGTAGCAAACGTATGCTACAATAGCACTTACAAATTTAAACTGGACGGTGCAGGATCAGAGAGACTGTTTTCTAAAATCCTTCCCATAAATGTTGAATTGCTACCCAGGACATTTTATTTTCTCACATCCATTACGAAGTATGCGTCGAAATTCACCTATCAATTACATTTTACAGTAAGTTTAGAAGTTAAAAATGACAATTCTGAAGATTTTATAAACTTAGGAGAACATGACATGTCTGAGTAACTAACAAGAACAATAAATCAGACTATTTTTCAATAAGTTTAATCATCGTACGGCATAAAAGTAGCCTTTTAGAGTGATTTTACTTAACCCGTGAAGCATGTTGTAGAATACTACCCACTATTATGCGCCAATTCCATTGTATTCTTTTGTTTACCTCTTGTTATTTTGCAGTATTTTTTAGTATCTGTTTCACGGTTCAAGTAAAATCACTTTATTTTGTTTCTTAACTATACAAAATAAGAATATTTATAAAATAGGAATCTAACATTTAGTTTTTAGAACATGATAGCTGCTGGTTCAAGCTTTCAGTTTTAAGAAGGTTTCATTGAACTCTTTGTGAACGTGTGGCGCGGGGCCGTGTTTTTAAAGGAAGAAAAGATTGAACACGAAAGTGACGAAGATTCGTTGAAAGGGACAACAGAACCTACAACCGTAAGGCCGATAGTTTCTCTATTTCCTTCCTACAACTCCTCAAGTGACGCGCTTCAAGTTGAAAAAAAAAAAAACAAAAAAACCGATTATCGACGGAGTGCAAGCTTGGAAGTAAGAAACGCTCAAAACGTTTCTTAGCTAAGCTTCTTTTTTATTTTCTTAAGCTCAGTTCTGCCTCATTATTACTTGTGCTTCGGCTCCAGCACCAACACAATCCTATCATTACTAGACAAACTGACCCGTGTAGTTAACGTTTGCATGTCTTGTTGTGAAAACAATGGACGGTATTCTGCGGGAATGTACCACATGTTACTAAACAAAGCAAACTCGCCGGTCCTACAGGAATAATTTCAGGCACAGGTACGTTCTTTCTTGTCTTATTTGTTTAAATGAAAACAGTTTTTTAAAATTCCTTTTTCAAAGTCGTTTTTTAACATGCGTAGGTTTCTTAATGTGAGATATGCTGACCGTGGCAATCCAAATACACAGTTCAGTTATACCCAGGACTGAAGAGGCCCTTATGGAGTTTATAAGAATTCATGACGGAGCTGCAGACAAGCTTGGCCAGTAGAGAGTCAGCTGGCAAGAATGGTGGCACTGGTTGAAAAGAGCCTGTGGGTAAAACGGAAGTTTTAGTTTCTCGTTATCTTTCTTCACTTAACAGAAAACAATCTTTTGACTTCTTTCTTGATGTCGTGTTTTAACAGCGCATAGGCAAGTGGGTTAACGGCTGAGTTGGTGATAAACAGAAGGCAAAGAGCATATTCAGTGTGCATAGTTTTCTGGAAAGTACTCAAATATGTTCGAAGATCTAAGAAAGAGTCTGTGGCGTAACAGATCACATTAACAAATACCACGACCATCATAAATCTCGCAGAGGAAATTTCTACTCCTTGTTTACGTTTCTTGAGAGTCATCGGATGATTAAACTGTAACTGAAGGGCAAGGGCCGCCATCATTTTGGTGTGTTTATACGCGATGTAAAACATTTTTATAGTGGCAAGAAGCAGGAATATACACGGCAGTAGCGGAAACACGAACACCCTTGAAATTTTAAAAGTAATGAATATATCTTCAGAAGCAAGCTGTTTGACAATGACAGCGATAAGAAAATAGAGCACTGCGGGAAAAAGCCAGCCGAGGACCACCATAGCAACGATGCGTCGTGACGTCATGATAGGAACATACTTGAAGGGCATCACTATGGCAACATAACGGTCAACAGTCATGACACACAAGTTCGTCAACGAAGCGAAAGCGAAGTAAGCAGCGAAGATCTGTCGGAGTTCTCGATCACATGGCAGGTAGAATTCGCAAGTGAAAAATGTTGGGAAATAAGTTAAACCAAAGCAAAAATCAGCAATAGCCAGGGACATGATAAAAAGATTTACTTGTGTTTGGAGACGCCGGTTGGTGGCGATGAGATAAATCACAAGCGTATTTCCTGAAACTGCTACGACGGTTAAAATCCAGCCTGGTACCCAGACCCAAGGTAAAGGATCGGCTGAAAACGTTGCTAGATTGACTGGAGGCATGATCTATCCTGTAGACGCCGCCTGTTTTGGCTCAGATTCGATTCAGATTCAGAATTGTAGCACCACCAAATATTCACTGCTTAAATTGCTCAGAAAAGCCAATGCAGCAGCCATAAAATAAGGTTTTTGACGTCATCTTGGTAACACCAATTCTCGTGACGTTCACATTTGTACGCCATATCTCATTTTCTTACGCAATTGCTAAACAAACTTTTGCTTCCTGTCGATTGTAGATATTCTTTGTGGGTTTGCGTGGCTTATAAAATAAGTTACCGGGCTAAATTGTCGTGAACAACTGTCTAATAAAATTGGTTTAAGGATTTCGCTTTAAGATGTGGCTCACACGTATAACGTTAATTGGCTTCTTCAAGGTTAAAAGAGACACTAAGTAAATAAGCATGAAGCATAGATGTCGTATTAAGCTTTCACTTTCCTAGTTTTATCGTTGATCCAGGTGTTTCAGACGTAAAATAGATCATCATAAGACATTGCGCAACATTAAGGTTTTGTTGGAAATTCTCTTCACCAATACGGTGGCAGACATTTATTGTTATTTAGGGAATAATGTCGGAAAAATGAAAACAGTTTTTTCTTGTTTTTTTTTTCTTTTAACAATGTACAGTATTTTTTGAAAATAAAAGTAAAGCATTTTTGCAAAACACACGAAAGAAAGGGCTTATACTCCTGTAGCTACTAGTTGAATACCTTTAATTCCCTGAAATAGAATTGGACAATTCGAAAAATGAAGCACTTAGTTCAACTGAAATAGAGACTTTCCTCATTGAAAGAAATACTGTGTGCTTAGCGACTTCAAATTGCATACGACACCTGTCGGAAAGCAAACATGGAAATACGGCGAGTCCTAAAGCATGAAGCGATTGCACCGGTAGATTTAAGAGAAGAGGCGTAAATTCCTGTTCATTGGATAGAAATTGTTCGCCACTGAATAGAAAAAACGGCGCCTACGACAGCTTGTTGCCTTAGTATACGTATAAAACTAGGAACCTTTACACTATTTTTCCCCTAATTAACATTGTAATTTTAGTTGTCGCAGACCACTCCAGCCGTTATTAGCGACCTTTAGATTTGGTTAGCCTGAGTTATGTCCTCGCATTCAGTGTTCGTTCCATAAAGCCTCGAGAATGGGAAATGCATGTGTCCCACTATATAAAAAGGACGAAATTTCGTAAACAAATGTTGCCATTTTTTAAAAGCTGGGGAAAATTAGAGACATTTGTTTTACGAAAACAACTAATTATAGTACAAGATCATCAAGTGTGTTTTTTTGTCTGCTTTGAAGGGTCAAATAGATGGATTGTTTGTCATTTGCATGACTCAGGCTTTTGCTTTTGCTCACTACAACAGGTTCACACTTGTTTAATAGTTCCTACTTAGCATCATAAGCACGGGTACGAAAGAAATAAACTACAAAATGCTCTTCAACGGTCTATGCAAAGAATTTGCGAGAGATTGAGACAATTCTGGCGTGAGTAGTTATAAAATTGCCCAAATTAGTTTGCGCAATATCAAGCCGTTGGTTCGGTGACGACTTCCCTAATGAATGTTAAATAGTATTAAGATATTACTTGAGGCATAACCACAACGTTTAAGCATGCGTAATCGTACTAATCTAGTATTAGTAGTCCGATATTAAGGCCTGTATTTACTACTTCGCTTTTTAACTATCAATATTGTTTTTTCCATAATCGCAGTAATGAAGGTTTCATATGCATGATAACTCTCCACTGTCTGTCTTCGTGTGAAAAAACAATTAAGAAACCACCAAAATAATTTAGTTCGCGGGTAGATAATTTCAAGTTTGTTCTTCAAGACCCAGGGTGTTTACCATTTCCACAAACCACCCGCGTGGAAATCTCGCGCATAAACATGAAACTGTAAAAATTGACTTAAGCTGAACAGAACAAAAAGAGTGGAAAAATTGCATCGCCTGATTTCAGGGGCACCGTACCCAACGTCAACTTTAGGAAAATAGGGATCTTAAGAACCACGACGACGACTTTGTCGACGACGACCGGAAGTGACTTACAGTGTACTGCGCAAGCGCGACCAGTAAATTTCGTCGTCGTGGTGTCGTCGACGACGCCAAACAAAGTAGAATCACGTCGTCCTGCAATCCACAAGCTTCGGCAGGCATAAATCCACTGTTTTAGGCGATTTTTAAAGACCTTTGCATTTTCTTATCCTCGTAAATCCAGATATCGTTCCTTTTTTCACCTACCAAGCGATGTTGATTGAAAATTCGACTAATGAATTGTTTTTCCTTCGAAGAATGACAACAGCTGTGGAGGCCGAGTGAGCGAACTCGTAAGTGATAAATTTATTTGTACGTATTTACTCGGTAAGGCAAATCATATCTTTAATACAGTGGAAATAAACTTTACATGGAAAACAGTTATCACATCAGAATGTCTCTTTCTCCAAATCTATTACTCTGACAGACGCTCGGACTCGGTCATCTCACTCAGGTTGAAAGTTGAATAATCTTCGTAAGGAAAGCAGGTGTTTTTTCCTCTCGAAAAGGTCAGACAACGCAAAAAATTATTCATCGTCAATGAAATTAGACGTACGGCTTGAAAAATAAAATCTTGCATTGTTTTAAAAGACGCCATTGCGAAAAACTTTGTTGTAAACGAACATCACAGTTTTACATTTGTGTTTACATTCAGTGGCGTCGTCGTCGACCTACCCGTCGACTGCATCTTAAGTATCCTTTTTCCCGCCGAAACTGACGTTCTCGTTCCAGTCTTGTCCCAGTCAACAGACGTCGTCGTCGTGAACTTCGTCGTGGTTCTTAAGTTCCCTAATATCTGTCCGGAAGACGACTTGACATCTAGAATTTTCGGAACATTTTTTGTAAAATTTCTTGCTTGCCTGCCTCTCCTAGGATTTTCGAACATCGAAAAATGGCATAATTGCCCATTTTTAACGGATTTTTACCCTCAAAAGGTCACCTAGAATTTTCGGGAGCCCTTTTTCTGGCTGAATTTTTCGAAAAGGTAAGTTTTGATCCCTATAATTTTCGGATCACTAGACTTTCAGCTAGGAAATCGGAACAGATGAAAAATTTTTAGGGGATAAAAATATATGCCTATATCTACCGTTTAAATACTGAAATACATTTAGCAATGCTATGTTTAAGTGGTTTTGAACTATATTCTCGTTGGGTGTCCCTGTGAAATCGCAGCCAATATTTTCTGAAGCTTCCCAAATGGACTGGCGCGAACAATTTCCGGTTTTCCAATAGCTTGAGTATCTGGCCTTCCTAAGGGGCTTGGGGAGAGGAGATATTACATGGGGAAGGGGGGAGGGGGGAGAAGGTTTCTCTCCTTCAGCTCTCTCACTTTTTCGCTTCCATCTTGATAGCCTGATACTCAGGCTTGTTTTCTAACGTAAATGGTAAGTACCTCCAGGTTCTAATTGTAATTAAAATTCTCCTTTTAGTGATATTTTGGGCCAGGTTTTTCAGTTCAAAAGTCAGAACTTACTGACCACCCGGGATGTTCACAAAGAAAATGAAATAGGCCTTTTTCTAGAATTTTCACTTAAAACCCATCACCGGCCATGCATACTATCATAGAATAAGGTGGAACTCTGATTAATAGTGAAATTCTCTATATGAAATGGACTGGTTCTGACAAATAGCAAGCGCGCCCAGACTCCCCCAGGTGGGACCTACTGGATTTATGGGTAGAACTTTATAAGCAATGCAAAATCAAAGTTCTTTCCAGAAATGTTTATTGACGAAGCTGTGCAAAGGTTATCTTAACTTTCCTTAATTTAAAACGCATTTTCAATTTTCTCAGAAACAATGATCTTTCGGACTTTAGTCACTTTCTCGCCGATCGAAACGATCGCAGCGATCAAATAGAGATCAGCAAGTGCCAGGATCGCTAAATTTTATTTATTTTTTGGCGATTGCAAGGATCGTAGTGATCAAATGAAAACGAGCCTGCTTTTCTAGATGTACCAAAATTCCAATACGGTTTCAATGTTGCTTAATTGATCCGGCCGGCAATAACACAAAAAGCGAAACCGGTATTTAAACAATGTATGCAGATTAGTTCTTCTTGAAATATTACATCGCATATGCTTCAGTATTTTTGTCCAAATAACAACGCACGCTTCATTCGAGGAAAAAGCTGGAAAATAAGACTTTTTCCAAAGCCAGTCGGTGAAATTGCGAAGACATCTATCCTGCCGACTACGTGTTTTAAACAGTTTCATTGCTCTTCGCGTTTAGCCTCCACGTTCGGAAAGTCACTCGGCGCTGTGCTTGTCGCGAGTTCGAATTCTGCGTGACGGGACGTAGAGTCTGTCATCGCCACCATATCGCATTCCTCTCCGGGATCGAAGACGCTCCACTGTTGACAAAAACTGTCAAAATCAACCAATCACTGGGTATACCGGGATCTGGTATACCGGAACGCACTTTTGTTAAAAATTTTTACAAGCTTTCCTGCACCTCTCTCCCCAGTCCCCCTCTACTTTTCATCGCTTTCTTTACTTCGCACCGCTCTCCACTATCTGATCGCTTGGAACAGGCTAAAGTATTACGGCCTACAATTATTTAAGTGTCTTAAGTGGTCTGCTACATGGCCGTTTTAGTGTCGTCACGTAACGCTCTTTCCACTGAAAACGGCTGAATAGCAGACTATTATTTAAGCGGCGCGAAAATAATTTTTTATTATGTCGCGCTAGTTTACTGCGTCTTTTAAATGCCTATTTTACGTTGATGCACGAGTGGATTTGTCACCCTCCTGAAACTTGGTAGTGCCTTGAGGACTAAATTAAAACAAAGCGGAATTTTTAATTTTCAGGCGACATAACTTCAGTGCGTTGCATGCGATAGCAGGCCTCTTTGCGATTCCGGTCAACAGCCGACAGTCGGAGGAATTGGTTTACACTGATCTCGCGTTAATTCGGCCAGGCTAGACGACCATTAAGCGGTGATTTTCAAATGGCTACGGTTACGATCAAAT